ATTATTAATAAACCTTCAGCTTACTGTAATTTTGCTATAAAAGAGATATTATATATTTAATCTGTGCTCTTATTCTTCTTACCACTTAATCATGAGCACTAGGAATTTTAAGAGATCCGCCAATGATAAAATATCAACAATTGCTAAACCTGCTAAACGAGGCCATAAAAAAAAAGAAAATTTCGACCCCTCGACTAATATCAACTACTTGCAAGTTAAACCAAATAATGTCAATAAACGAGATTGTAAAAAAAAACAAGAAATAGTTGCATCATCATCTTCCCAAATCATTGACAAACTTTTAAACAATGCTAATAATCTACAAAGTAAATTCTTTGTTGGATCTATGGATATTTAATATGTCAATCATGATGTTTTTATAATATTTTTAGATGACGATGAAGAAGTAATAAGCGTTGGTGAATTATCTCAATCAGCATTAACTTCTCCAAGGCAACTTTTGCCAGTCTTAGAATCAAGAATTGTATCTCAACTTTAATTATCACCTTTAAGACAACAGTCACCAACTCAAATTATGTCTCAAATAACTATACCTTCAAGACAACTATCTCCAGCTTTAGAGTTGAGAGTTGTATCTCCAAGACAATTATCACCGACTTTAGGGTTAAGAGCTAACGCTCAAAATAACTTTGTTCCTTCAAATCAACTTCCAATTAATCTAATACTTACATCTTCAAGAATGTTATTAACTTCAGATTCGAATTTCTCCAACAATACGCTTGGTCAATTCAATTCTAATAGAATTACTGCTCTATCTCTATTTAATGAAATGTCAATTTATTAAGCTTGTTTGTAGTTATGTGTGAATCCTAACATTCTGCAGCTTGCAAACCATATGAACTTATCAATGCAGACTCTAGCTGCAGATGGTTCACAATTTATATTTTCTAACTCTATGACATTAATTACGGCACCAAATCAAGATGACAAAGTAGGTTCTCTCTGTTTAGGCTTTTATAAATTATATGAATTATTTTTAATCACAAAGAATTTATGTAATAGGCAAAAGCTAGTCAAGACTGTTTAGAAGAATTGAAGTGTCTTTTTCTTTGTGTTCGAAATCCTCCAAAAAAAGCAATTGAGAATTTAATACGACAAGTTATTAAATGTGATCTCAATTCAACTGAGAGCATTGAATAGCTTCAAATAGCTAAAAGACACTTTGGTGATTTTCGTAACAAATTAGTTAATGATATCAAAAATTTGGTAAAAGACTTCAAAAAAATAAGAGCACGGTTAGTATGTGCCGCAATTTTTATTTTTTTATTTGTTTTCTTTTACCTAAAATGATATGTTTTCTCTACAATTATAGTTCTGTATTGAGCCCACTACAAAAAGAAGAAATTATCGCATTCATAAAACGCTTGATATATTAAATCGGTAGTTGAATGCTACAAATATGGATGAATTACATGCTCACAATTTAATATATCATTTATGTAAGTTCGTCCAGAGTGCATTTGCAGTTAATTATACTTCAAGATATACTGAAAGGACAAAAGCATTGGATAGATTAACAAAAAGTATCACTGTTCCATCACGAAATGGCAAAAATTTCGCCAGTAATATCAAATTGTAATAGCTTATTTTATTTTATTTAGATAGCATATTTACTAGCATTTAAATAACAATTAAATCATTAAATAGCTTCGATTATTTTAATCAGTAGTAATTTTAAAGCATTTATGAGCAAATCCTTTGTATTAAATTTTATTATTAAAATTTACAAGCTTTAAATATATTTATGGCTTCACTATTCATAACATTTGTACAGTGACAAGAGAAAATAATCTAACTGTAGCCAATAAATGGAGCCAGTTGTTATAGTATATTACTATGTTAGGCAAGCTTCCCATCAAAATCATCCTCGATGTCAAGGTTATACAAAAAATTCAAATATAAAAAGAAATTTGAATCTTTGGTAAAGTTCTTTTATTTATATTAAGGTTAGAAGTAGAATTTGCAACTTTTATTTTATAAATGAAATTATTAAATACTAAAATCCAAAACATGATTCTTCTATGTACTCAAATTCCTTCGTGTATCATTTTGACATACCACTTTCACTTCAAAACTCAAATTATGCCCGTCATTCCAACAGGCTATTATTTTTCTAAAAAAACAAGCAATGACTATTATTCCAACAGGTCATCAAATCATAGCTTTTAAGCAGACAGCCAAATCAATTGCTAGGATGAGACGAAAAATCAACAAAATTAGGTTGGCAAAAAAAGCTTTATTTGAGAAAAAACTCATTTTTCTTATAGCTAGTTTCAATAGTTGTATATCACTATATCATAGATATTTCTGGAGTTTTTAAGACTAGTAAATTATAGTATTTTGCAAAAAGATGTGACCCCATGATTTTTGTGGTGATGAATGAGGAAAATTTCTGAGATTCCAAATTGTCTATTAAATAATACTTTTGATAAGTTATATTTATATTTATTTGAAAATGGTAAGATTCATAAAATCTACAGAATCTCTGATTTTCACACGAATCTTTTGCAAAGTGCAATAATTTTTACTAATTTAAATTTTCAAATTCTTCGATTTCCTACGTGGATATATTAGATATATGGAAATCGTTCCACATATTTGAAAACAGCTGTAAATACTAGAGTGGGTTTTGGAAGCTTCTAAAATCTAGGAAATATCATGAAATTCCATAACATGGCGATTTGTACAATTGTAAGTCATAGTGGTTTGCAAAAAGGTGTGACCTCTGCATTTATGTAAAATCACTATTATTGATTGAAAATTATGAATTAAAATCAGAAATTTTCCACTATTATCATCACGAAATCACAGGGTTACACCTTTTCAAGCTGCCATAATGATCCAAATAGGCAATTAATAGTTGATAGTTTTTTGCAGATTGCAAAAAGTGTAACTCTGTGATTTCGTGATGATAATAGTTGAAAATTTCTGAGATAGTTTTCGATCTATATTTTATTCGGAATATTTACATAACATTATGATCTGTAGAGGTCACACCTTTTTCAAACTGCTATAATTCTATATACTTAAAATTAAGTTGATTCAGAATCTTCGAATTTCTACAATATATACTGTTTATAAATACAGGTAACTATACTTTGCTAAAAGTATATTGCTACTTAACTGCTACTTAATCGCCACATAATTGATTCTGCATTGTCTCAAAATTTATACAAATTTATTTACAAGACATAACAAAGTTGAACTAATATTTGCTCTATGTTGTAACGAAGTTGTGGCAAAATTGCCACAACTTCGTTACAATTTAAATAAATAATATTGCAACAATATAGTTACAATTTCTTGGCAAAATTGTAACGATATTGTTACGAATTTAAATTTAATTTGTTATGATTTCTTAATTAAGTATCGTAAAGATATAGTTACAATTTCTTAGCAAAATTGTAATAATATTAAAATAATATTGTTATGATTTAAATTTAATTTGTTATGATTTTATAATAAGGTATCATGACAATATAGTTACAATTTTTGTACAATTTATTTGCAATTTAGATACAATATTAAAATGAAATAGTAGTCTTATATTAAAGAAATTAATTGTATCAAATTTGCAACAAATTTGTAGCAAATTAGTAATAACTTATTATTAATTTTATTACAAAATGTCAGGTTTCTGCAAAGTAGTATATTTCTTTATTTGTAGAGTAGTTACAGGCAAATTTGTCTGCAAAAAGTTATATAATTTTTTTTAAAAAAGTATTTTTATAAAATTTTGTTTAATTTTTGGTTTTGTTTTTCACGCACCCGCATGGTCATGCACCCGTGATCGACCAATCAAATTCGATCATAGGAATAACAAAAAATTCTATCTTTTTTTAATAATTTACACAAATATATAATTTTTTTTGTTACATTTATTGTTAATGAAATTGTATTATAATGAAATGTGAGTTTCTGTTTAACCCTCTAAAACCCATTTATACTTGTTTAATATAAACTCTACTCTAAAACTAACCTCTAACTTAGCCTTGCTATTACATATTTTGAGATTAGGGTTCTATTTAGCCCTTTACAATGTATATATAATAAACTAAAAATTGTATAGCTATACAAAAAAGTAAATAGATATGCATTATATATCACATTATTTATCAAATATTGTATCTTATTTATTAGAATAAACTAAGCAGCAAAGCCATTACTAATCTAGTTTACAAGTTAGAATCATATTACAAATTTTCTCTTGATAGTAATAATTTTTTTTTTATGATTAATAAAATAATAAATTAATTTCAATAGTCTTTTCTCTATAGTTTTTTATCAATGTCTTTGGTAATCAGTAATTATTTTTTATTTTTTATTTTTTTTTTTGTTTGTTAATTGCTTTTACGCTATAAATCTTTGTTAGTTAATAT